AAAAAAAAAAAAGAAAGAAATACACTGAGAATATTCATCTAGGAGAGTGGTTCTCAACCTTCCTTATGCGACCCTTTAATATAGTTCCTCATGTTGTGGCGACCCCCTACCATATCAGATATTTACATTACGATTCATAACAGTAGCAAAATTATGGTTATGGAGTAGCAACGAAAATAACTTTATGGTTGGGGGTCACCACAACATGAGGAGCTGTATTAAAGGGTGTTGGCATTAGGAAGGAAGTTTGAGAACCACTGATCTATGAGGTCACCACGTGAAGACTTCATAGTCGGAGATTCTGCTTTATAATTTAACATTCATCAGTAGAATCGAGTGTGCGCCTCTCTCTCTGGATCTGTACTTTTTTTTTTAAAAATAGAGACAGTGTTTCCCTTTATCCCCCTTGGTAGAGTGTGGAGACATTAAGTAGCCTATTAACAACCTCCAACTCCTGGGCTTAGGTGATTCTCTTGCCACAGCCTCCTGAGCAGCTGGGACTACAGGTGCCCACCACAATGCCCAGGTATTTTTTTGTTACAGTCTGGCCGGGACCGGGTTTGAACCCGCCACCCTTGGTATATGGGGCTGGTGCCCTATTCACTGAGCCACAGGGCACCATCCTGTGCTTCTTTTCTTTCCTTCTTTCTTTTTTTTCTTTTTTGAGACAAAATCTTACTATGTTTCCTTGGTAGAGTGCTGTGGCATTACAGCTCACAACAATCTCCCAAGTCCTGGGGTCAAGTGATTCTCCTGCCTCAGCCTCCAAAGCATCTGGGACTACAGGCACCCACCACAGTGCGATTGTTGTTGCAGTTGTCATTGTTGTTTCACTGACCTAGGCTGGGTTCGAACCTGCTGGCCTTGGTGTATGTGGTTGGCGCTGTAACCTCTGTGCTATGTGCCAAGCCCACTACTCTTAGACAATCTTAATGGCAGCTTTAGGCTTCTAAAGCGGTTTACCTATCTATAGTTGATTGTGTTTGTCTCCTAGAAGTAGCTCTTACTATCCATGGTAGTTTTTCCTGGCCACCTCTACAAGGGCAATTTTATTTCCTATGCTCAAGATTTTGGGTGGGGGAGGAGGATGAGAAGAGTATTACCTGTTCCAAGCACGATCCCTGCCTTCCATGTATTGAAAATGCATTAAAGAAGCTGCTGACTCATAACCCCAGTGGAAACTTGTAATTACTATGTCATTAAAACTGACAGAAGATATAAAGAATGTAAGATTTAATTTTCGTGGATAATACTTTTTGTAAGATACTTATACATGTATATTCTGCTAGATGGACTAAATGTGTGTAATTTTTTGTTATTCAGTTAAACAATTTTAGTATATTTAAGATCTTTTAGGAAGGGATCTGAATGTCATAATTCATCTTACGTTGTTACCCTTGGTAGAATGCCTTGGTGTCTTAGCTCACAGAGATCTCAAACTCTGGGGCTCAAGTAGTCCGCTTGCCTCAACCTCCCTAGTAGCTGGGACTATAGGTACCTGCCACAACACCCACCTATTTTTTAGAGATGGGATCTCGCTCTGGCTCAGGCTGGTCTTGGACCATTGAGCTCAGGCAATCCATCTGCCTTGGCCTCTCAAGTGCTGGGATTACAGGCATGAGCCACCACACCTGGCCCTGAGTGTCATACTTCCATAATTTCTTTTAATTTTTTTTGAGCTCAAGCAGTTTATTTTTTAGAGATGGGGGGTGGGGGTGGGGTGGGGTGGCGGTCTCACTCTGGCTCAGGCTGGTTTTGAACCTGTGAGCTCAGGCAATCCACCTGACTCAGCCACCCAAGTGCTGGGATTACAGGTGTGAGCCACTGTGCCTGGCTTTGAATGTCATAATTGTTGAAGGAATTTTAAGTTGAGTTTATTACTTTCTGAAAACAGTTTTATTTTTTTTTTTTTGGACAGAGTCTTATACTATGTTGCCCTTGGTGGTAGAGTGCTGTGGGGTCACAGCTCATAGCAACCTGAAACTCTTGGACTTATGTGATCCTCTTGCCTCAGCCTTCCAAGTAGCTGGGACTACAGCTGCCATAACACCCAGCTATTATTTTTATTGTTGTTGTTCCAGTTGTTTAGCTGTCTTGGGCCGGTTTGAACCTGCCACCCTCAGAATGTGTGGCTGCACTGTAACCACTGCTACGGGTGCAGAGCCTGAAAACAGTTCTTAATTTTGATGAACAATGTTGACAGAAACCGGAAGATCTGCATTTTATATTGTGTAAAAAAACATTTTGTGAAAGTGTTTGTTTAGTAAATCCTCATGAATCTGTAATTTTATTTTCAAGAAGCAAAATTGCACAAAAAATGTTAGGTAGTAAAATCCAGACATATATAACACTTTGATTACATTGTCTTTAATTTAGTACACCAATTTCAATAAAGTGTCATTTTTTATTCTTAAGTTTAGTGAGATTTGGCATTTATAACAAGTCATTATTTACCATATCGAAATCTTTGGGGAAGAATTGATAAAGCCATTTCTCTCCCCTCCCAGGTATATTCAAGAGCAAATGACCAAGAACCATGTGGATGGTGGCTGGCAAAAGTTCGGATGATGAAAGGAGAAGTGAGTGATCTTGAAAATAACTCAACCTTTGGTTCTTGTAAATGTTTTTCCAACTCTCAGTTTTTTCTTTTTCTAAAAGCTACCTCAGAAATAGTTGATCAAACATTTCAAAAGTTCATTAGCATTAATTTCTGTTTGTGTTCTATATTGGCAAACACCAAAGCTGCTCTCCAGAGGTACACGTCAAGCATGTAAGGACCACCAAGGTTCATGCTTGTAAGAACCTATAATCTAGTTTAGGCAAATCAGATTGATGTAGTTAAGCTATGCTTAGTATTTGTGCCACATGGGGGAGGGTCTGTTGGTTAAGCTGAGCAAGGTAATTAGAACTTCATTTAAGGTTCATTATTTTTGTTCTCGTGGGATTTTTAAAGTATTTTGATGTCTTTTAGTTTTATGTCATTGAATATGCTGCTTGTGATGCTACTTACAATGAAATAGTCACATTTGAACGACTTCGGCCTGTCAATCAAAATAAAACTGTCAAAAAAAATACCTTCTTTAAGTGCACAGTGGATGTTCCAGAGGATTTGAGAGAGGCGTGAGTAATTTTATTTACTGTTGAATTGCCTTGTGAATTAAGAGGAGTTTTCAGTATTAAAAAATAATCATTTCTCCCTCAAACACCAAATTTAGAATCTTGATAGGAAAATACTGTAACAGTGATTTTAATGAAATGAAATACTGAGTTTACATGACAACTTTAAACTATTATTGAGGACTTACACTTGAATTCATTCATTTCTCTTTAGGTGTGCTAATGAAAATGCTCATAAAGATTTTAAGAAAGCAGTAGGAGCATGCAGAATTTTTTACCATCCGGAAACTACACAGCTAATGATACTGGTAAGATAACACAATATTTTAGAGTAGCAAGTTAATGGACATCACACACATTTGTAATTAGATGTTTCAGAAAATAAACGCTAAGGTAAACTTGATGTATTGTGAATTTATTAGTACAGTTTGAGAGAAAATTTTTTTGTAGCTGTAAAACATTAATTACTTTTGATCTCTCTTGGAATAAGGAGAAAAATAAAGTTCTCTCTCTCTCTCTTTTTTGGAGTCTCATTTTGTTGCCCCCAGTAGAATGCCAAAATTTCCCAGCTCACAGCAACCTCAGACTCTTGGGCTCAAGTGATGCTGTTGCCTCAGCCTCCTGAGTAGCTAGGACTACGGGCACCTGATACAAAAGGCCTGGCTGTTATTAGAGATGAGGTCTTGCTCTGGCTCAGGCTGGTGTTGAACCTGTGAGCTCAGGCAATCCATCCACCTTGCTTCTCAGAGTGCTAGGATTACAGGTGTGAGCCACCATGCCTGGCCAAAAATAATTTTTTTTTTTTGAGATAGAGTCTCAAAGGCATAGAGTACCAAGGCATCACAGCTCACAGCAACTTCAAAGTCTTGGGCTTAAATGAGTCTGTTGCCTCAGACTCTCATGCTCCTGGGACTACAGGTGTCTACCACAATGCCCAGCTAGTTTTTGGTTGTAATTGTCATTGTTTGTCAGGCCTGGACTGGGTTCAAACCCGCCCGCTCTGGTGTATATATGGCTGGTGCCCTAGCCGCTGAGCTACAGCCACCAAGCACCAAAATAAAATTCTTTTTTTTTAAATTTTTTGAGACAGAGCCTCAAACTATCCCCCTGGGTAGAGTGCCATGGCATCACAGCTCACAGCAACCTCCAACTCCTGGGCTCAAGCAAGTCTC